CCCTATCACCTTCCAACAGCACCCATTACCATCATCAGCCTTATCACCATCATCACCATCCAACATCACCCATCATGTGCATCACCACACATGCACAGTAATCTTTGCAGCATTGTCATCTCCTGGCCACTTCGAAGTCCAAGCCTATAACACCTGGTATTCAAAGGTAGCCTATCCAATTACTAACCGGACTCGAGGTTGCTGTGTCTGTGTATGAGAGCGGTAATGCACTGGTTAGCGCACGGCGCTACAAACCCGGTCACCTGAGTTCGATTTCCGCTCGGTCGACTCGGCATTAAATTAGTGCCTGGTGCAATATGTAAGCATCGCTACTGGGGAGACAAAGGCGGTCGTGCGTGGGATTTGACCACCTACTCGTGTGCCGTGCTGGCCTTCATAAGTGCTCGCTAACAGCACTTAACAGGCTACACGGGGGAACTTTGTCTTTGTACCATATTATGCCATAAAACTCCTCCCTATTTAATGGTCCCTAATTGAACCTTGGAGTTTGAATCCAAGTTTAAGAACTCGTGACACGTCCTTAAACGCGTACACATAAACAGTATAATACACATATAGAACATATATAAAGTACACCCATGTGTTATGATGAGCGGTGGGTTTCGCGCTGACTGCGCTGTGAACCCAGATAGTTCGAGTGGAAACCGCGCACACACCAAAAAAAAACCCGCAAAGATTCCATTTTGTGGCCTAAACAGACTTGGGGGAAGTGCTGTTAGTGAACACATGAAGCCCGGCACGACACACGAGGGGGTGGGTGGCCAATACCACACTCGGCCGCCTTTGTATCACCAGTGGGTGATGTTTACACACCGCACCAGATAGTTATTTGAGGCCGAGTCGACCTTAATCGTCAGTGGTGTTGGCCGTGAGCGGGAATCAAACTCCGGTTGCCGGGTTTGTAGCGCAGCGCGCTGATCGCCACACTGCCGCTCACGCACAGACACACAGCAAAGATCCGACGTGTAGCTTTAAAACACTGTTGGGGCAAGTGCTGTTTGCGAGCATCTATGAACCCACCTTCCCTAAACGAACCGGCGATGGAGGAGAGGTGGGAGGGGATTGTGTCCCGGGAAACGCTTTTTATTTGCGGCCACGACTGAGGCTCGTGTTGAATTCATAATCGGGACCCACGTCGACTGCTCCCACCTCCCTTCCCTCCTACCCCTCCCCTCTCTCCCCACCCACCTCTATTGCAACCTCTCCCTCCCCTCCCATGTCTACCCCCACATATCCATCCCATATATCCCTCCCTTGAACCCACCCATCTCCCCCTCCAATCGACTCCACCTCCCACTTACCCCTTACGTCAAGTCCCACCTCCACTCCCCTCCGTCGAGGTCCTCCACCTACACTCACCACCACTCTGTCCTCCCACCTCGACCCCCATCTCCATCCCTCCACAACTACGCCCCCTTCCCACCTACTCCTCTCCCTCCCTTAATTACCAGTCAATCAACCACCATCGATACCAACGCAACAATCATCACCATCACCTGCCGCACCGGTTCAACCATTTGTCGCCGCCGTTCGTTGGTCGTGAGCTGGAATCGAACTCGGGTTGCCGAATTCGTAGCGCAGTGCATTACGCACACTCCACTTATCTCTCCCCAAAACAACATCTACAGTACAGGCATAAACTTTACAAAAGACTCGGGTCCCCCCAAGGACCGGTTAAAATATCTTCGTCACTGATGTTGGTGGCCATGAGCGGGGGAGTGGAACTCGGTTTCGCCGGGTCCCCAGCGGAGTGGCGCTAACCGGTGCGACACCGCTCCCACCCCCACAGTCTACCACGCTCGCGTAGAACATCCCCACGGGCCTTACGATCCCGCGGGGCACGCAATTACAGTATATCTACATCGCGGGGAGAAGCGGGGGGGGGGTGATGGAGGCGTCGGGGACAGAGAGTCAGGGGGTTTGTGCGGCTCTCTGAGGGTGGTTGTGATTTAAGATAATGGTAGGGGTATGATAACAAAGTGGTGATTGTTGTTTTGTTACTAGTGATGGATTATTGCTTTGACGATAATGGCACGCAGTATCCCTGCTCACTATCAGGTCGGTGTCTAACTATGTTGTTGGCCGACTGGTTTTGCATCACGTTATTTTTCCTAGGTTTGTTGAGTTCCTCGTCTCTCATCTTCTTGTATTTGCCTCCGTACAGTTTAACGTTCTCTATGTGCTATGTAGGTGATGTCCCCCTATGTGCTCCCTCACTTTGTTTTACACCTGCTGATGATCGCTTGTGTTGCGTTCGAAACGTCGTGATTTATTATTTTAATATAATTTTCTACATACGTGACTTTACCGAAAAAAACAATGAGTATGGTAATTTATGCAGTCACGAAAGCTTCAATTCTATATTTCTTCACCATCTCCACAGTGCTATGCTCGTACTTAAGGTGATGGTGATATGGCGGTGGTTGAATTAGTAGCGAATGCATTTATGGTAGCAATACTGTGTTATCGTAATGAGGATGGTGATTTTGATGAAGCTGGTGACGGTGTGTTGATTGTGGTAGTGGTATGATGGCATTTATGGCCATTATGGTGATGTGATTTGGTAGCGTTTGTTGTAGCGGTAATGCTGATTGGTGACGGTGGTTAATTTGGCTGTGGTGCGATGGTAGCGGGGATTTGATGGTGATAGTGAGTCTGGCCAAGGTGGTGCCGGTGATGGTTGTCGCGGCTGTGGTGATTGTTTTGGTGATGATGGTGATGGATGTATGGCTGGCAGGAGGTTGTAGGGAGGTTGTACCTCCTGCCAGCCAGACTTCGACACTTCACGTGGCCTCAAAGTGCGCTCGGCACGACACGAGCGCAGTGGCGACGTCACTGCAACTTAGTGGCGAATGGCGGCGGCTGTTGTTGTTGTTGGATTGTGTTGGTGTGTTGTGCAGCGAGTGATGATGCATGGGTCTGGACCGCGACCGTGGCGCACACAAAATACAAAGATGCAGACAAAGATCCTCCGTAATAGCCTTTAACAGAGACTGTTGGGGCAAGGGATGACTCACACTGACACGCATACGCACGCATACTGTATACAATTTTCACAAACATATACATTGACATATTCTCATACGCACGTACACACTGTTTATACACAAATGCATGCGCATTTAGACGCAAGTAGGTTCATACACAGAGAAACATATCCCCCTTAATATACTATTGGGACAAATACGCACATTTACACACTCGTATACAGTCACACTGACATTCACACCCACACACATTCACACCCGCGCATACAAATTAAATCCCCCCACTCATTGACATTCACACATGCATGCATACGCAACAAAGGCAAAGATCGCCCGTATAGCCTTAACAGACTGTTGGGGCAAGTGCTGTTCAGCGAAAAGCACCTACGAAGGCTGACACGGCACACGAGGCGGTCGGTGGGCCAGCACTACGCCCGGTCGCCGATGTTTACACACACTGCACCAGGTACTCGTTTGAAACAGATGCATCACTCCGTTATCGACTCTTCTATACGACCCCCCTCCCTATTTCCTACCCTCCCACCGCACATCCCCCCCACACCCCCACCTTTGCGACACCGCCCACAGTAGCAGATGTTGGCAAGATCGCGCGGCGGAACAGATGCGGTGTTTGTGTGTCTGGTTTTGTGTGTGTGTGGGGATGTGTGTGGTTGTGCCTTTGTGCCGATGTCGGGTAGCGGTTATCGCGCTGCACTACGAACCCGGCGACCCCAGCTCGATTCCCGCTCACGGACACAACACCAGTGACAATCCGAACCAGTCCTGCGCCTCCCCTAGATCAACTCAGCCTCAAATGTGTTCCTGGATGCGATGTGTAAACATCGTGCCTGGGACTACAAAAGGCGGTCGGGCGTGGTGCTGGCCGCACACCCCGCGTGTACTATTTCCGGCCTTCATAGGTGCTCGCTAACAGCACTTGCCCCAACAGTCTGTTAAGGCTATGCAGGGGATCTTTGTCTATCGGGAGCTGTAGCTAAATGGAAAGCGCACTGCAACCTGAGTTCGATTCTCGCTCACAACCGAACTAAATAGCTGCTCGCTAACAGCACTTGCCAACAGTCTGCACAGCTGTGGGGGAGGGGGGGTCTGTGTATCTGGGTGTGTTTGTGGGTATCCACGTGTATATGACTATCTGTTTCTGAGTGTATCTATCTGTGTATCCCCTGTATCAGTCGGATCCTTGTATTTGTCTTTCGTACACGTGTGACCATATCTCTATAACGTTATGGACACCAGACACATTTAGGGGGCATATTTTATTCTGAAGAATACTGTAAAATCTTGGGAGAGAAGAGACTGATTATAATGGGAGGAGGGAATTACGAAATGGAACAGTGCGAGGAAAGCATAAAGAGAAGTCATGTGTGGTGAGTGGGTACGTTTTTGGGTGAGTGAGTGGGCCAGTGGATGAGTGAGTGGGTGATTCAGTTGGTGAATGCTTTGGTTGGTGGATGAGTGAGTGGGTCATGGCGTTATTTGGTGAATTAGTGGATTGGTGGGTGAGTAGGTGGGAGAGTCAGTGGGGTTGGTGAGTGAATCGGTGTGTTGTGGCCTGCAGTGTGGCATAAATGTCCGTACCAGGAGCTGAAGAAGCTAATTTTAGCTCATACCACACCACTCAGTTTTCATTTTCACTCGAAACATCCAGAAACGCTGGAAATGTTTGCGCACAAGCAGCACCAGCAGGCAGTCGTGTTCGACGACTTAGAACTTCCTCATTGTGAAACAAACAGAAAGCAGAAACTCTGCCATATTTCCCCATTTTCTCATTGTAAAATGTCACACGTTTGGGTGCGTCGCTGCGTGTTGTGAGAGGCAGGCGTAATCGACGGGGCAGAGAGATTTTTGTTTTCAGTGCGACTGCTGCAACCCAACTATCACCTGTAAAACCGTAGCGGCAACAGACACTTCGGTATTTGTTTCACAGGGATCAAGGCCCTGATGATGAGACTCTGAGAAGGTAGAACAGCCTAAGGGTTGTTATTTTTTTTTCGTTTAAGCAAGTAATGATAATTATTATGATTGTTAGTGTATTTGGCATACGGGCCATTCATACGGCGTAACGCTACAGCCACAAAGGAAGGCGCTATGTCTCACAGATGGGTGTTGTAGGCCAGTAAGGAACGTTGTTGCTACGTGGTTTTCCACAATGAAGTAACTGCTGCTTGACATAATTAGCCCAGAAGGCCGATAGGCTAATGTACAGTACTGAAATATTAGAGTTTTTGGGGGGAAATAAAACAGTTCCGTTTTATTTTATCACCGTTTTTTACTGATTATCATAGTCTATAAAGACCGAAAATGCACGAAAAGATTTTGTATAAGCAAAACTTATGGCGTTCAGTTTACAATTGCATGTGGAGGACATTGACGACAGGTTGGGGTAAGCAACTTCGAAGTTGGGAATGGAATGTGGCAACAAGTGTTAAATGTGCTATCAGGAAGAGGAGATAGTGATGGGTGGGACACATTGTGTGCAGGGTGGAGGAGGAGGTGAGCAACTTGGCGGTTGGGAATAGGAGGATGTAGTGATGGGTGGGATGCGTGTCTAGGCTGGTGGAGGGCAGTTCACCGAGACGGGCATTGGAGTAGCACCCAGAGGTCAGCGATCAAAGGGAAGAGAAGACCTAAAGCCAAGCGATGGTGGTGGCGATATCGTAAGAGGGGTCCTTGACAGACGTGTCGACTGTGTCACAAAACTGCCTCAAGGTATACGGTCTAAATACCTCTCCTTTCTCCCTGTGTCTTCCTTGTCTCCCTGCCTCCCTCTCTAACCCGATTTACCCTGTGTCTCACTCCAATCTCCCCATGTCTTGCCCCCATCATCGCATCTCTCTCCATTATCTCCCCCTGCCTCCTATCCTCTCCATCTCCCCCCATATCTCCTCCCCATGTCCCCCCCCCTCCCGCCCATATGTTCCCCCAGTGGCTACCACCCCCTGTCTCTCTCGTGTCTCCTGCTCCACCCCCCCTGTGTCTGTCCCTTTGTACCCCAACCCCATCCCGTCCCATGTGCTGCAGCAGTGTGCCCGAGTGTTGTGACATCGCGGTGCCGCCCGGAGCACACGGAGGGGCGCGCTCTGTCTCCACCACGAGCGCCTCTCATGAGCACCGCCAGCAGCAGCTTCAGCAACAGCAGCAGCAACAGCAGCAGCAGCCGTCGCTCATGTTCGGCACATCACGCGAACAGCAGCAGCAGCAGCAGGGGGGCTCGGCACCCACAGCAGGAGCAAGGGACACGGTTCTGTATGGGCAACTCATTGTGCTGGGGTGGGTATCTTTGGTGGTTCATTGTAATCGACATCATCGTCACCATTCATGATCTATCCCCTGCTGGATGAAGGCCCCTCCTCAAGCCGTCGTCATCTCCCATTGGGTCATCGCGAAGCAGCTTCGAGTTCTGCGGTGGATGTCCGCCCTCCTTGGGCTGTCACTCCGCAATTAGTCCTGCCCCTCGCCCACTTACCAGTCAATGTGACGTCTCTCTCTCAATTGTGTATGTCCCCTGGGTGCATGTGCGCCTCTTGACGGTACGATCTTTAGGTCAATACGGCCTCAAATCAGTTTCCTGCTGCGGTGTGTTAAACATCAGCACTGGGGAGGCAAAGGCGGACGGGCGTGGTGTTGGCCACCCATCCATGCATGTGCTGTGCTGGCCTTCATAGGTGCTACTCGCTAACAGCACTTTCCCCAACAGTCTGTTCAAGGCTATGGTGGGGGATCTTTGACGGTTTTCTTTGGTACTTTTTGTGAGGAGCATGTGATAAAAATCAGTAGCGAGTGGGCAAAGTCCATTACTGGGTTGGTTAGCAGCTGCATAATTACCTTCACACTAGCCCGGCCAGGTCAAAACATGAATATCATAACATGTCCGTGTTGTTGTGACTGAATGACCTGCCACTACTGGGTATCTGTGAAAAAGAGCATCATAGTTCTTAAGATTCTTTCAGATCTTTTTTGATAGATATATATAAATATAATAACGGTGTTTACCCATCGATCGCAGACATTGTAGCCGCACTCATCGGGTCCTGGAGGGGGGAATCACTTGGACCTGGAAACTACAGCACCGTGCTGCTAATTCTTGCACTGTACTCAGCCTCTTCTGTTACTGCGAGGGTTTCTTTGTACTCAGTTGAAATGCGTGCGCTGTTTTTATCGTTGTTCTTGGATAACGCTGAGCGTGTGTGTAAATTTTTTCGTATGGTCACCCGCCAAAGGTTTTTAAAAGTCCTGTTTGATCCTCAGTAAAGTACAGGTTCCCTAACCATGTAATAATTTCTGTATGATGATGTGGATGATTTAGAAGATGATGGTGATGAGGTGGACGATGTGTGTCGTTCCACAGACACAATGGCTGTCTCCCCCTGGGCGACAAGGGGCGCAGACGGAGTCGGTTTAACCTGTACCGCAGGTCAAAGGCCAACGGGGTCAAGCCCAGCACGATGCACGTGACCCCAACCCCCCAGGCGGCCAAGGTCAGCGAACACGGCACTACGTGGTGACCCTCGCCCTGACCTTGAACTATGACACTAAACTTTATTAAAACATATGCATATCGCTTTGTCAATCCACTGCTGGATGAAGGCCTATCCGTGGCATGTCGGTCATGGGGGTTGTTTGATCATAGTCTGGAACTCCCTTCCCAAAGTCATCCATGCTGTCGACTCCCTGCCCCCGTTCACATCCTGTCTCAAGACTTCCTCTTCTCCACTGCCCACGACTGATTGCCCCTCTCCCATAGACTCGCATGGAGGCCCATAGACTCACAGAGACCCAGGAGGAGCCATAGACTCATGGGACATCGATTCACATTGAGACCCACAGACTCGCACAGAGACCTACGATTGACTGACAATTTCTCGCCAGAAAATAAAGACACCTACGGTTTCCTTCCGGCATCTTGAGATACAGTGACATTTATACGATGCTATATAAACCCACTGTGTTGTATTGTATGCACAAATGATGTGTTCACGTCACCGCTTTTACACACGCAACAAAGTGTGTTTGAACACTCGTATTTGCAGAGATTGCGCAATTTTCTCTCCCTGCTCACTTCCCTTCGAGCACCTGGCCACAACTGCAATGCGGCCACCATCAGCGCCACTCCCCAGAAAACAAACAGGGGATCATGATTGCCACTTGGGGCCCGCGTTTGTAAATTCCGGCTTTGTTCCCCCCCCCCAACTCCCTGTCACCTTGCCCAAGTCGAGAGAACGAATTGGTTCTCATCTGCTGCCAGTGGCGAAACTATTAGCTTTACATTAATAACATATACAGTCAGCGTTTCTTTCTTTGCTGCCCACGTAGCTATCTTTGATTAAGAGGAGTAAACTCGGGCCTGAGTATAGAACGATTAATGTAATTATCTTTAAATAGCGTAAAGCTTAGACTTATTGTCACACTATCGGGATGTTTGGCCAGCTATCGTTCACGAGCAGTGTGTAATAAACGTGGGAGGAAAAAAAGCAGAGTGCCCGGAGAAAACCCCCGCACGTCGCATGGTCTCCCCCACTGCACCACAGGCCGTGAGCAGCAAGGAGCTGCACAGCGTGTCGTACACGCTGTCACGCAGCCAGACTGTCGTGGTGGAGTACGCGCACGACAAGGACACGGACATGTTCCAGGTGACCGGCACCGCGCGGGTCCACGCTCACGTCGGATGGATGTCACCCCGCGTCATTTCCTGCTGAGTAGACCTAAGGGGGCGACATGCCGAGGGCGGTGTGGTGCGGCCAGCCAGCACCACAGCCTTTGTCTGTGTCTCTGACATGCACGCAAGTGCATACATACTTGCGTACAAACAAATCTGCACACTCATTTATTCAAAGACAAACTTCTCCTGAAGAGCACTTTACCAGACTTTTGGGGCAAGTGCTGTTAGCGACTAGCACTTATGAAGGCCTTGCATGGCATGTCACACACACACACACTTCGCACTCACTCGCACAAAGACAAAGATCCCTCGTATAGTCTGTACGAGACTTGGAGCAAGTGCTATTGTTGAGCACCTATGAAGGCTAGCACGGTACAAGAGAGGGGGTGGGGTGGCCAGCACCACATCCGGCCGCGTTTGTCTCCCTCGTGATTATGTTTCATACACACCACACCGATATTAATTTCAGACTAAGTCGACCTAGGAAAAACCCCGGACCAGTTAAAATTTTCGATAATCAAGCTTGGGTTGCTGGGTTTATAGCGCGGCGCACTAACCACTACACTACCACTCCCCCGCTCGCACAGATCGGCCGCTCAACCGAGGGCCCCATCGACTTCGTGGTCACGGACACGCCGGCGGGCAATGGTGGTGGGGGGGTCGGTGCAGGTGGCCCCTCCACGGGGGGCGGCCCCGGCGGAGGGGGAGGGGAGGACGCGCACCTGGCAGCTCAGAGTACGATCTCGCGCTTCGCATGCCGCATGGTCTGCGCGCGCACCGCGCCGCACAGTGCGCGCATCTACGCGGCCGGCTTCGATTCTTCACGCAACATCTTCCTCGGGGTGAGAGGGCGAGCCCACACCCACCCCTACCCTGCCGAACTCTGATTCATCCCCCCCTCCCGGAAAACTGAATCGTGAACTGTGATGACTCGGACGACTTTATCCTTCACTCGGCACTTGTTGAAATTGACCATGAATCCTGACCTCTCAGATTGATCCCCGAGCGAGGATCTCAGCAGTGATGGAATGGCATCGCTGTTGATTCTTCACGATAACTTAACTTGAAGTAGCAGTGGACATATCTTTGCCTGTTTCAATATATAGTACAACAGTCACCCTATATGTGTTTTATTTTTCTGTAACTTAATTTTGTTCTTGTGCTGTTATCAGTTTTAAAATCATCTGCCTGAGCCAACTCACCCTGCAGGGAATATATGACTTGACATTGATGTGTGTTTGTACAATATTCTCGAACATGCAGTTGTTTTGGTCTGATTTCTATTTAAATTCAATGCTGCATTTCGTTTAATTTGATTTGTTTTGCCTTCCTCATTTTGGTGACCCAGGTCGCTCTTGCAAATCAGTGGGCCTTACCTGGTAAAATAAAAATTGTAGTATAGTTGTAGTAAATGTGACTCGCGATCCTGTTGAGTTCCGCACCTACGGTTTAAACCAGTGTTCTTGATTGCAAGGCCCGCGGGCCACTGGCACCCCTGGTGGCCTTTAGTGAAGCCCCTGACATGCGGCCCCCAACGAAAGACAAATGCTGTAAAACCCAATAGTTTCAAATATGCAGCGGCCCTCACACTGATGTCTGAAAATGAGTGAAGGACACTGGTTTAAACAAAACCAACTGATTTGAGCTACGACGTGGCCCATCCCTCCTCTGGAGAATCTCACTTGATCCCCAACCCCCCATCCCTTGTCCGTCCCCACCGCGCAGGAGAAGGCCGCCAAGTGGAAGAGCGTGGCAGGCCAGATGGACGGCCTCACCACCAACGGCGTGCTCGTCATGACGCCGCGGCAATCGCCGCCGCACACTGGGGCCCCCGAGGGCGCCGGCGAGCCGAGCCCCGGCACATGGCGCGAGATCTCAGTGTGCGGCAATGTCTACTCGCTGCGCGAGACACGCTCCGCACAGCTGCGCGGACACCTGGTGAGTGGCGAGGGGGAGGAGGCGGAGGAGGGGGACTGTAAGTTGAGTGAGAATTCAGTCTGTGAGTGTGCGTCTGGTCGAAAACAACCTGTAACTATTCAAGTCCATGGATCTTGTTACCACTGTGTGTAGCTATCTCTTTGTGTGTCTCTTGTAATGCCAATTATCCACCGGAATCTGCATTGCGATGGCGCGAGACCATCGCACCTCACTCATGTCATCTCCGCCACCACTTTCCTCTTCCACTTCCTCCTCCACCTCCACACACCCCCAGGTGGACTCGGAGACCAACGTGCTGCGCGACGGCTCCCTCGTGGACCTGTGCGGCGCCACGCTGCTGTGGCGCACGGCCGAGGGGCTGGCGCGCGCCCCAACTCTGCGTGATATCGACGCGCTCCGCCAGGAAATCAACGCGGCGCGACCGCAGTGCCCCGTCGGCCTCAACACCCTCGCCTTCCCCAGCTTCCGGCGCCGCCCTGGCCCCACTGCCAGCGGTGGATCCACGGCCAGCGGCGGCCCCGCCAGCTGCACCGCGGCGGCAACAGCAGCAGCAACATCTGGAACAACCGCAACAACTGCAGCATCAGCGGCGGGATCCACTGTGGCTAACGGAACCAGCGGTGGTGTCGGTGATGAGGACCGGCAGCCGTGGGCTTACTTGGCGTGTGGACACGTGCACGGGCGGCATGAGTGGGGCCTCCGCGGCGGCGGCATCGGCAACGTCACCGGCGGCGCCGGCAGCAACGGTGGCGCAATGGAAGCCGGACGCGAGTGCCCGATGTGCCGGGCCGTGGGGCCCTACGTGGCGCTGTCACTGGGCCGCGAGCCAGCGTTCTACGTGGACGCGGGCCGGCCGGCGCACGCGCTCTCGCCTTGTGGACACGTGTGCTCCGAGAAGACGGCACGGTACTGGGCGCGTGTGTCGCTTCCGCATGGAACCCACGCCTTCCATGCGGCGTGCCCGTTCTGCGGCACGGCGCTCAGCGAGGGCGAACGTGCCAGCGTCAGGCTCATCTTCCAGGGCCCTCTCGACTGACGCGTGCGGCCCTTGCCGGGATGCACCTCCGCCACCTCTTCCCCGCGATGGGCTCTAACGCTGACGAAACGTCCAGATTCGAGCTCCCCTCCACTCTCCAACCCCCCCGACCCCGGCACCCATGAATAGGGGGCCAACCTATGAAGGGGCACCAAGTCTGATGGCAGTCCGAGCGGCGCGTGCGTCATTTCCCATAGGGCTTAAAGCTTTCTGAACAGCCTCCCAGTTTTTTCTGGAACGAGTCCTAGTGGTTAGTTTCAGTGAGATTGTTCACGCAGTGTCATCCACCAAGGCATTTGCTGAAATCTATATTTTTTTATTTAGTTGGGCGAGGTTATCTGAGCAGTGGGAAGAGCCAACTCCGATCCTCTGAGCCTCATGTAACCTCGTATTTCCGCGATTGATAATTTGCCCGTTAAAATGAAAATTAGGTTTTTACGCACTGCACTTGCCCAATGATTGTTAAACGCATGCCACGTGTAAAATGACAGCGCTGATGTAATTTTAATTGCGGCTCCCTGTGTCACACAGGGCACACAAAAACAAAGAACCCACGTATAGCCTTAACAGACTGTAGGGGCAAGTGCTGTTAGCGAGCACCTATGAAGGCCGGAACGGTACATGAGGGGGTGGGTGGCCAGCACCTTTTGTCTCCCGAGTGGCGATGTTTACACGCTGCACCAGGTACTCATTTGTGGCTGAGTCGACCTAGGGAAGGCCCAGGACGGGGTTCAAATAATTGTCACCGGTGTTGACCATGAGCGGGAATCGAACAGGGCACACACACGCATGTGCACATACACACGACAACAATATGTGAACTAGAGCTGGTTCTACATCACGTGGAACATGTTTTGCAATCATCAGGCGTGCGCAGTGTGTAAGGACTTGATTTGTGTTTGACAGATGGTGAATTTGTAAATTCTAAAATTTGTATCACTGTAGCTCTTGGTTTATGGCCTTCCCTTGGGTTGACTCAAACTTTAATGAGGACCTGAGTGTAGTAGTGAACATCGGGGTGAGCATGAACACGAACCTGGCATTGATACATGTCACTCTTTCTTTTTTTGTTTGTAAACACTTTCAACTCTGGGTGTGAACTTTACGCCATGGATGTGAATTATAATCGCTGGACGTGGATTCAAACTCTGGAGGTGGATTCCATTCCTGGATTTAAACTTTCCGGATACATTTGAGCAAGTGTCTGTGGTGATGAGGAATGGACAAGGACCTGTGGATTAAGCAAAGAAAATACTGAATGAATAATTCACAAGACTTTAGAATTCGCATGAATACCTCATCATAAAGATCGTCATCACTGTCATCGTAATCATCGTAAAAGTCATCATCGTTATCATGATCATCCTAACCATCATAATCATCACCATGGGCGTGATCATCGACCAAATCGAAGCTTCGGGAATGAATGACTCGCGCGATTTGAGCTGCGTCTATTTTTTTGGGGTGCACATTGGAAAAACGCGCGTTGCTTTGAGGGGGAGGGTAGGGGTGGGGGTGCGCGGCGGGTTTGGGGGTGTGGGCTGGGGTGTAGGGATGGTGAATCATGTGAACCGTGTGAAGGAAAAATGCAGAATACAATTCGCACACAGTGATGGATAAACGCGTCACCACCGCCAACATCATCATAATCATCCCCCTCGTCATTGCTATTACTGCCTCGTGACGTGTGCGTGTGTGTATACTGGGTCAATGCAGAGCAATATGCATACATGCATCCATATGCAACATTCCATACACCAGCATAGACAAACACAACATACATACACACGTACAGAAATACGCGCACCCTACATACATGTACAAAAACAAAGACAACGATCCCCTGTATAGCCTTTATCAGACTGTTGGGGCAATTTCTGTTTGTGAGCACCTATGATGGCCGACACGGCACACGAGGGTTGGTGTGGCCAGAACCAACAGCATCATCATCCACACAACAGCATCAGCATCAATACAACATCACCATTAATACAACATCACCATCAATGCAACCGCATCACGGTCAACATAACATCATCACCATCCACAACAGCATCACCATCGATACAGTAGCATCACTACCCACACAAACGCATCACCGTCAACACAACAGCATCAACACGCAGCAGTCGCAGCATCACCACTGCTGTCCCCACAATGGGCTGTAGTCCACAGGATACCACCGAAGATGGCAAAACTTTAGTACCGATTTATTCGTACGGCTAAATACGAGTGATACTGGATAACCCTCACTCCAAGTGGTATTCACATACTTCACCGTTATTGACCTCGTACAAATGAATTGGAACCGCTACAGTTGATACCATCCTGGGTGTAACCGGCTAAGTCAGGGGTCGGCAACCTGCGGGTTTGGAGCAGCATGCGGCTCTTTACAGACTGCTTCGTCACGTTATGTATGTATGCATTCACATGCATTGCGGCTCTTGAAATGTTGAGGTTTGTACCGAATTCGAATTTTTTTTCTTTTATTTGGGTTGCCCGACCCCTTGGGCTAAGTATTGGGCGGCTAAATAACGTGTTGCCGGAGTCCCCTCCGATCGGCCAATAAACACGACCGCTCTCATGCTTCGCCTCGCCGTGCCCAGGCCTCCTGTGGGTTTATTCTTCATTACGCTTTGGTTCTTTCGGTAAAGTCACGTAGGTAGTAAAATAAAATAAAACAAAAAATATATTATTTATTTTTCTACCTACGTGATTTTACCGAAAGAACCAAAGTATCGATTCCTGCAGTCACGAATGCTTCAAATCAAGATGATTCTTCATTGTTGGAGATCCAAACAACATCGTACACCTCCTCCTGGCTTTGACATTCCTCCTCGAAGACACCGGTGGCGCAAACCATCAACCGTATCCGAATTCATTATCAACATGCTGATGATGCTGTACCGCATCTCCTTGATGAATGGAAAATTAAAGAGACAAGCCATAGTAGTGCGATCGTGGCCATGCAATCCAAACCACAGACCGTACAGCAAACCCACTGTGGTCCTCTGCTCCTTCAACGGAGGAAGAGGAACATCAACACGATACGAACTCTCTGCTGAAGCCCTCTCGTCGTGACCAGCAGCGGCAGCAGACCTCGACATTGGCATCGCGCCCCTGAGCCACATCGCTGCCATTCTCAAGAATAGAACTGAGTGAAAGGTGATGATCGTCCTCGGCTTGATCAAAGCCGAGGACGATCCTTGAGTCACTGAAATTCGGGATGAAGGCCTCCCCAGGATGAGTCTTTGACCGCATTTCACCGTTGTTATTGTGCCGCATGTTTACACCAGGAAAGCCTCTTCGAGTCTCATGACTTTCTGTCAGCGGGGTCCTGCCAAGTTTTCACAAGTAGGGTGGGGGGGCGATGATGATTTCTCCAAACTGGGTGATGTTTGTACGCTGCTTGCTCATTGTGGTTTGGTGGAAGGGCGGGTGTTCGAGCGGCATAGAGAGTTGGGAACAAAGAAGTACAGTATAGCCTTAACCTTATAAGGGTGAATGTTGCTGTACTGCTCTCTAACCACCTGGCACAAACCCCCGCAGCGTGAGAATCTAAACTCCTCGATTCCTGGAGAGGCACAACCCGAAGACTGCGACAAAAGCAACCTGTCATGCGAAGCGGTCGTGCCGTCCAAGCATTTGACCAGACTCAAACACTGCTGCTTAGCTTCCGACATCTGATGAGATCGTGCGCGTTCCGAATAATTTGTAGAGTATTTTCAGCTAAATAAATAAAGGCACATTTAGACATCTGAGGTCAAAACCCGTGTGTGTGTGTTTAATTAGGTTATCTGCCGCTCTGTCTCATAATTGGTAAATAGTGTAAATTCATTCCCCGCAGCAAATCGTGTATACAAATATTATTCTGCGTTGAACCCTGGGACCCTCCCCGTCTTACTCCCTCCCCCGCCTCTCCTTTCCACTCCCCTGTCGCCCCACTACCACGCTCTCCTCCCTCTCTCTTGCTCCTTAAAATTCCACGCGAGGCTTTGTTCTAAGGCAGCAAGCCCTCACGGACATGCGGGATATACGGACGGACACGTGAACAACAAACACACGGACACGAGCAGATCCTTGTGTAGCCATACGTAGACTGTCGGGGCAAGTGCTGTTAGCGAGCGCCTATTAAGGGATAGAAAGACAAAGGCACCCGTATAGCCTTTAACTGAATGTTGGGGCAAAAGCTGTTAACGAGCATTTATAAAGGCCGGTACGGAACACGAGTTGGGTGGCCAATACCACGCTCGGCCGCCTTTGTCTCCCCGTGTTGATATGTATACACACACCAGGTACACAATTAAGGTCGAGTCGACCTAGCGAAGACAGGAACGGTTAAAATATTCGTCCTCCCTTTTTATTCGTGATTGGGAATCGAATTCGGGTCGCCGGGTTCGTACCCGCGCTTGCGCAGACATACACAAAAATACAGGCGGTGACATCACCACGCGAGCTTGTGCCAGGCTAGGTGCATCTTGAGGCCACACACCAATCCACTCACAAATACAACAAAGACAAATATCCCCCAGTATAGCCGTGACAGTCTTTTGGAGCAAGTGCTGTTCGCGAAGGCACGGCACATGAGGGGGTGGGTAGCCAGCACCACGCCCTGCCGTCATTGTCTCCCTAGGTACTCATTTTAGGCTGAGTCGACCTAGAGGAGGCCCAGGACCGGTTCTGATAATCGTCACTGGTGTTGGTCGTGAGCGGGAATCGAACTCGGGTCGCCAGGTCCGTAGCGCAGCACGCTTACCGCTACACACAAATACCACTAACAAATACTCACACGTGGTCCCACATTATTAGTGAAAATTAGGTCCCATGATTAAAATTCTTATTTTCGCATTATGGTGTTTGTAGTAACCATATTGGCATGGGTCCATAGTCTAGTGCAGGGGCCGGCAACGAAATAACAAGAAGAGATATTTTTTTTCGAATTCGGTAAAAACACTTAATATTTCAAGAGCCGCAATGCATGTGAATACGAGACGGTCTTTAATAAATAACGCCACGAAGAAGTCCTTAAAGAGCCGCAGGTTGCCAACCCCCCTGTATAGTGGTACGGTCTATATTCATGACTAAAATATGTAGCGTGGAAATATGAAACAATCCAGTCGATGTGTGTTTAGGGAAGTGTTGTGTGTGTGTGAACGATTTGGGGAAAATATCTTATTGCGATTTTTCTGACATTGCGATTCGATTTGCGATTAATTTTTTTGTATTCACTGTGTAAGATTTAAAACATGTGATGGAGTATTACCACATGATACCATCAAAATATAAACTGCTCTCTATATATTATAATGCACGGATGAGAACTTAAATGAATTGCTTCCAACATGTATTTATTAGTTTAACACGAAGGCTTTCGCGACCAATATCATCCATAATAGAGGTTTTTTGGGTTAGATCGCGTAAATATATAAATGTGTCGTTAACACCCGC